TTTCATTGTCAGTATCAGTATCAGAAGTTCAATAAAGAATCGAAACTTTTGGTTAAGCTTGCGAAGCTATTGTTGTTACACTGAAGCCTGCAAATCAAACGAAAAAAAATACATCGTTTAGTGTTACAACAGATCCCTATGGGGATAGACTACCTGCCTTTAGATACCTTGCCCGCTTTTATTTAATGATTCGGACTGCGGTACAAGAGAGAATTTTTTTCTATTTTTATTTTTATTTTTGTCTGACCTCTGAACACCAGGTTATGATGACATTGGAGTTGTTAAAAGCTCTTTGTCGTGATGTGGTTTAAGATCCATTTTGATTGCCTGTTAATTATGCTAGCGCGATTTCCCGATCTATTGTTCTCGATTGTGTATAGATTTGAGAAAATGATAGTATCTAGATGTGAAAAATTGCTGAGCGCGTAAAATGTACAAAAATAAAGTAATGTTCACACTTCAAATGAACGATTAATGAAAAATTCCTTTTACCCTAATGATAACTTCCGAGAAAAATGAGTGAGTGGCGGGACATGCATTTATTTTTCGGTGAATTCTGAAAAATAGTTCACTGCATCATCGCTATCGTATGGTTGTCATTAGTTTTTTTCATACGAATTGTTTGATTTTTTGCAGGATATACTTTCGTGGTTCTAAAAATGTTCTGCAGAACTGGGATGGGAACTTGTGGGTAGATTTACGATGAAGTTTATGTGAGAAAACGAAATTTGGTCTCCTGGTCAAATTTGAGCCTAACCCAACCTAACCTAACCTAACCTAACCTCACCAAATTAATGTAACCTATCCTCGATTAAAATGATTTACGATAAAGTTTATGTGAGAAAACGAAATTTGGAGGTAAGCCAGGGCATAGTGTGAGAGTTGCGCTCGACACCGCAGCCTCCCACAGCCTCTAGCGCTCTCTGAGGCTACTTACCTGCCGCGTGTCCTTTCTCTCGTGTTTTTTTTTTTTTTTTTTTTTTTTTTTTTGTATACTGTACGTACTTTTTTCGTTTTCATTTACGCTTTTTAAGAGAGTCAGGTTTCCTTGTCATACTCATTTGGGTCTGGTTTTCTTTGGTTTCGTTGTTTTATTTGTTCGAATAATTATTTAACTCATTTTCTATTTTAATTATTCAAACAAGTTTTACTCTGTTGTGTTATAAAGTTTTATAAGAGTTCTTTTATATTTTGGAAATTATAAAGATATATGACTGTGACGTCACGGCATGTGTGTACCCTAGTTTCCCCCGCGAAAAAACAGTCGATTCCGCACTTGGTTCGAGCAGCACCTGTTTCTCTCCATCCCCACTTCGGATGACTGAATTTGTAGCCGGCTTCAGCGAACAACGGAGCCGCCAGATACCAGATACCACAAGAATAAGTTATGTGTCCTGACAGATTTTTTTTTTTTTTTTTTTTTTTTTTTAGGAGTCGGATGAACTTCATTTATATATATATAAAGATAGTGCATGAATAATGTAATTGAATGTAATTATAATATATATATATAGGCCTCTTTTTTTTTTTTTTTTTTTTTTTTTTTTTTTTTTTTACTTTCTTCTATTTCTTTTTGCATATTAAGTTTACCTTTTTTTTAAACGGGGAAAGCCCTCTGAAACGGTGCCATACAACCCACGTATTCTAGAACCCCTCTTTTGCCCGCTGCCACTCCCATGGGGTTCTAGGTCATTCAGGGGGGAGCAATTACATAATTCCAAATTGCGTAAGGCACCCCTGGGCGACGGAGCGACATACTCTCACGATAGTTTATTAGATTCTGGTGGGGAGAACTTGGTCATACTTGGTCTAGGATGAAACTGATTGATTTAGTGCCAATACGATCTGTCTTAGAAAGCGTATCTGCTTTTCTTTCTTTCTTTCTCTCTTTCTCTCTTCTCTCTTTCTCTTCTCTCTTCTCTCTCTCTCTCTCTCTCTCTCTCTCTCTCTCTTCTCTCTCTCTCTCTCTCTCTCTCTCTCTCTCTCTCTCTCTCTCTCTCTGCAAGACAAGTAATTCTAAACCAATTTTTTGGAGAGTTGCTAAGGATTTTTGATCTTTCAATCGTTTCTTTATTTCTAGCGGATCATATGATATGGAAAATTTTATTCCAATCTGACAGGGATGAGGAGTTGTCAATAATTCCACAATACGGTCTTATTCCAACAATACGGTACTTATACCAACAATAAAACCAAAGATTCAACCTTTCACTTGTCCAAACCATACCTTAAACTATAGGAAAACATAGTAGCAGGAAGTGGTTAAGCATGTGTCAAGTATTTCTATGTTTCTTTCGTTGGATGTTTTTGCAGTATATACCCACCATATGTAAGGAAAATTACACACTCTTCAATGTAAGATTTCATTAAGATATACAGAAAGAGATGCGAAGTAAGGACAGCTAGAGTGGGTTCGAAAGAGGGAATAAGGACACGTTATGTAAGACTGCAAATAGCATAGACGTGGAGCAGAATGGTCGGCGAAATCTACGCAGCATATTTACTTGTCAGCATTAGTAAGCTTCCCTGACAACGCCGACCGACATGGTGAACAAAGAGCTGAGGATAGGGAAGGAATTGCTGTTTATATCAGACTTGATACATTTTATAAAGAAAGAGAAAAAATGTGAAGAAATAAAGAGAAGAGAAATTGGAGAGGGAGAGACAGATACGATAGAGAGATAGAGAGAGAGAAGAAAGAGGGAGAAAGACAGACGTCAGAGAAGAAAAAGAAAAAGAGATAAAGGAGGGAGAGAGAGGGAGACTTGATACAGTTTGTAAAGCAGAAAAATGTGAAGAAATAAAGAGAAGAGAAATTGGAGAGGGAGAGACAGATACGATAGAGAGATAGATAGAGAGAGAGAGAAAGGCAGACAGACAGAGAAGAAAAAGAAAAGACAGACAGAGGAGAGAGAGAGGGAGAGCAGAGAGAGGAGAAGACAGGGCTAAAACACAATAAGAGGACAGACAAAACAAAGTTAAGTTAAAGAGAAAAATAAAACACAAAAAAGAACAGATGCACATTCAAACCCATAAAATAAGAGGAACACCTACTGACAAAAGTGTGCCTATTCATCCAAAAAGAAAGAAGACGAAAATGGAGAACAGAGAAATGAAAGGGAAAAGCGAGAATGTGCGAGGCTACGTGAGAAAGAGGTGGAGACAAAGATAGATGAAGTGACACACCGACCCGTTTTTTATATCAGAGACTCCCCTGTTGCCGTAATCTCTTTCTCAAGATCCTTGTAATCTTCTTGTCTTCTTTTTTTGCTTAATCAGGGTTCTGATGCTGACAAGAGCTCCTGGCGAAGCTCCACTTCTCTCTCTCTCTCTTCTTCTCTCTCTCTCTCTCTCTCTCTCTCTCTCTTCTCTCTCTCTCTCTCTCTCTCTCTCTCCTCTCTCTCTCTCTCTCTCTCTCTCTCTCTCTCTCTCTCTCTCTCTCTCTCTCTCTCTCTCTCTCTCTCCACTCTCTCTCTCTCTCTTACTCTCCTTCTCTGCATTTCATACTGAATTCTATGAATGCCTTCACTAATACATATACATACGTTCAAACGAACATAAAAACATACCTTCAACCATACATATGCATTTTAAAACATTTACATACATACAAAACGTTCACATATACATAGACGTACATGCACATACACATGCATACCCACAGCCATAAACACGTAAATTTCACTCATGGAAAAGGTTCGAACCCACTCATTCTTGGTAATACCCAGAGAGAATGAAGCTAAGCCACTAGACCATATATGACTAAACCTGGATTAAACTCTTTTCTCTCTGGTGTTATCATCGAGCGGGTTCGAGTGCTTGTCAGGAAGGGAACGGGTGTATCTGTGTCAAATCCGTAATTGTATTATTACGTCATACATACATGTATAAATGTACATTCGTACATTCGTAGGTAATGTTGATACGATGCGTGTGTGTATGTGTGTGTGTGTGTGTGTGTCTGAGAGAGAGAGAGAGATAAAAAAGAAAAAAAAAAAAAAGAAAGAAAGAAAAAAAAAAAAAAAAAAAAAAAAAAAAAAAATATATATTATATATATATATATAGTATATATATATATATATATATATATATATATATATATATATATATATATATATATATATATATATATATACATATATGCATATATAAATGTATATTGCTTCCTCTTCCTTTCCTCTTCGGACCCGAAGATGGATTCGAGGATGATTCCGAAACTGTTGTCTCATTTTCTTCAATAAATCTAGATTGTGCATTGTGGGTTTTTCTACCATAGTATCAACACGGTAGTGTTTTTCCATTCCTAGGCCATATTCCATAGGAATATTCGTTGTGTTTTCTTGCCCTTCCCTTCGTTGTTCCTGTTGCATATATATATATATATATATATATA